GATGAATGGGTTATGTTAGGATTCGTTAAGAAGCATGTGACGATGCCAGTGGCTGGCACCATTCTCAGTGAAGCGTCGGCATTCTCCCCGTGTAAACTTTTTTCTTGCCAGCGGTTTTGGACATGAATGCGACGCACCAGTCGCTGACTTATTATGCGCCAGTCACTGACTCATTATGCGTCAGCAGTCCAGTCTTACAATTTGTCATTGTAGCAGGACTGAACCTGTATTTTTTGTTTGATTATCATACAGTGTAGTCAATTATTGGCAAACCCACGGGAAAAAAGTAACAAAACAATACTGCACTGGCCATTTCTATAATACTTTTACTGCCGCACAGATGGTTATTTGTCTCTAAAATCCGGATGAAAGTCGATTTTTCGGAATTATTTTTATCGCAAAACTGTTTATTGCCTGAGATGAAATAATAGATAGTAAACAAAGAATCGAAGTTTGTTTTATGGTCTCAACTGAAAGTAAAGTCGATTGCCCTCTGCAGAGCATGCTCAGAGTTTAAAAGTTTGTCAAATTTATTATATGAAACATGTACCACAGAGTGAACATCGATGTTTCTGGGGCAAATATGTACAATGTATCTCAACACTAATTTTTTATAATTTAATTCATTATTTATTACAATAAAAAATTGAGAAGACAGTTTTAAATCACAGTAACTTTCAAGTTACATTGTCCCTACTATAAACGTTTTATGTTTCTTAGGATCAATAAAACAATTCATTCATAAAAACACAAAACAAAGCTTGGTATACTAAAAGGTTCTTGATAGAGTTTTGAATGTGTTCCGTCTATATTTTCAATAATATTGAAGACAAATGTCTCTCCTAATTTCAATTGAACACAATTCCAACTTTGCCCCAATCTGCTGAGTAATCGCTTAATTGCTAGATGAATACCACGATGAGAAATATTATTATTTATTCTAAAATACAGTTATTTCCCTTGCAAGGCCCTAAACGTAAACGTTTTTACGGCTCAATCAAGAATACCTACCCTGATCTCGACTTGAATAAAAAAATACAGAATGCTTCAACATTTTCTTGGATTTCAAAAATTACTGTGAAGACTATCGAAAAGACGCGTAGATAGATTGCCACACATTACATAGAAACAACTTTTTCCTTTAAAAAAATGTCAGTTGTCTACAAATATCTCATACAAAATTGTTTTAGTGATTTCAGCGAACGAACTAAGAGAAGGAAAACCATCAGAGCACTTTGTTGCCTTCAACTCATATAAAATTACAATGGCAAGACAGTTTCTTCAAATACAATGAAGGATTTAACAAAATCTCCAACGCGTGCAAAAATAGATAAGGCTATCTAGAAGTCACAATGAGCAAAGGTTGAAATTACCACTATTGAAAGTGACGAACTGAATAAATAAATTGATGGATGTAGCCGTTACTATGTGGTAGGAGATCATGATGAAAAGAGAAATAAAATTTCTATATTTTTTACCACTTTTATTTGTAACTAACGTTACTGCAGTTTCGTCCTATATGGACATTTTCAAACTTAAACAATTTAGTTTAGAGTTTATTGTAAAAAACATAGGAACTGAATAAAATAAACAACAACAAAAAAAATACAAGAGGCAATTGGGATTTGGAAACATCAATGACGGTAATACGAGAAAATATTTTCTTATGGACCACCAACTCTCAATAGCAATATTGGACACTAATTCTCGCCTTGTATAACGCCTTGAAGTAGTTTTGGATGCTCTACCAAATGGTCACGAAACAGACACTGAAAATTTCGGATCCTTTTGTTCGGATCACCTTCAATTGAAAATTGTTATAGTATAGTTAATATTTATGGCGAAAATTATCATAAATCACCTATTGTTTTTCAAGTTGGGTATGTTATTGAAAATTAATAACGAAAATCTAAAAAAGTCTTCATTTTTTCTATCTCGATAATTATAATAATACTAAAAGTAAACCTGAAAACCTAAATATAATTCTTTTCCGTTAAGACTGGCCGTTCCTCAGATAAATATATTAATAAAATAAGGTACCCAAACAACTTTGTTCGCTTTAGTTACTAGATAAAGATTTTTGTTTTACAAGTCTCACGCTTGCAATACATCTTTTTATGTTGTTTTTTTTTCGAAAACTAAGAACGATACATAAAAAAAGTTGAAGAACCAGAATGTTATATTTTTAATTATTTAACATGAAGGTAAAATCAAACTCAAGGAAAATACTAGTGATTTGGAAAACATTTTTTCCATAGATAGTAACCAGGCAGAAGTCTGCCACACCACTCGAGTTATTACAAATATTTTGTTACTGTTATCAAAGATACCAAGTTATTCATAATCGGTTAAAAGAATCCCTCCCTTTATATTTAAATAACATTTGAGTAAAACATTAATAACCCTAATAAAAGGTAAAACTGAAACATCTGGCGTAGAATACGAGTAAATCCAAAGCGTGTACTTGTTCCAATCACCAGACGAAGAGAACCCATCCCAGGAGAAAATTGAGATGAAGAAAATTCGCCTCAGTTTTCTCCAGAAGACACCAATTTGGTTGGTGAAAATAGCGACGAGAAGAGTGTTGCATTTCTGGTGGAAAAAGTGCTTGTTTTGGATTAATGGACCATTTTTTCTAAAAACAAAGAATGTTAAATCGTATGTTTATATGAATTCCATTCAGCTGCCTTTGAGCTGAAGAATTTTGTGAAGAAATGCGATTAACATAAGCCAGTTTGCATTCGTTAAGAAACATGTGACGATGCCAGTGGCTGGCACCATTCTCAGTGAAGCGTCGGCATTCTCCCCGTGTAAACTTTTTTCTTGCCAGCGGTTTTGGACATGAATGCNATATTTTCTTATGGACCACCAACTCTCAATAGCAATATTGGACACTAATTCTCGCCTTGTATAACGCCTTGAAGTAGTTTTGGATGCTCTACCAAATGGTCACGAAACAGACACTGAAAATTTCGGATCCTTTTGTTCGGACTCACTAGAGTATATGTGGAATTATATCCTTGGCATCCAATTAAACCTAATCCGCACAAAATATTATTGCGTAGATTCACTGTCATTTAAAAAAAACAATAACCCGTAGACATCATATCGGAAGGTATCATAAACAGTCTACTCATCCCATTATAACTGGCATAAGACCTACTCCACTGTAAAAGATGAAACCTGTCCTAAACTCTCGAAATGTATTTTCCTGCTGAAGTAGAGAGTCAAGTAGATTAATTTAATGATGAAGACCATGTAGATGAGTTTTAATGATATCCTGATTTCATAAAACAAAAAAATTAACAAATATTCCTAATTCCGTGAAAATGTTGAAATCAAATTATCGGATTTTCTCATGTATTCTGAATACAATTACGAACTAGAAAACATAAAGGTTTGTTTGTATCGTGATTAATAATAGTTGTGTATGACCTCGAGAAACTTGCCCTCAGGCCAGCGGGCCTCCTCAGGGAATAAACTTCAACTTAATATAATAAGTAAATATATAACTATATGTGTGCCCTTTTTTCAATCACTTGAATGCTTTTCAATGTGCGGATCTGGCAACGGTAGCTCGCAACTTTTCCATTACTATCTGTTGCAAGGTGTTTTCATCAGAACAATTTTGCTCCTTCTGACTTTGTTCAATCATTATTGTGTAAGAACAGTTGGCCAAATTCAATGGCCTACCAGATCTCCCGACCTTACCCCTACTGACTTTGTCTGTATTATTTGAAGGATAAAATTATTAAGCAATACTATGCTAATATGAACACCATGCAATAGAAGATTTTAACCACTCGTTGAACATTCGAGCTTAAAAAAGTAACCAGTGTTCCAGTTTAAAAGATTTCGAATGACGAAGAAATTCCAGCGTGCCAATAGAGCGCACATTTTCATTGTTCTTATCTAAAAATTTGAATAATTCAATTGTATTTAATGTGATTCAATTGTATTAAATGTGAATGAAAGCTGAGAGATATAGGTAATATCTTATTCAAACCAATAAAACAAATACGGATGATTATATAAGTAGTACACCACTCCAACTATTTACCAAATAATCGATCATCTTTGGACTTACTTCTTGTTTTTCAAATTACTTCTCAAATGCACCTTTGACTTGATGCGTTGATGTAACAATCGATATACGTAATAGATAACAGCCCACTTTGACCATGATAGTTGTTCGATTTCTGGAATCATTCAACTATTTGATATTCCAAGAAAGAGAACATGCCGTCAACCTTGACATAATCAATTGATACCTCGAATAATCAGATATTAATGATTCCATTTCCACTACTCACTTTACATTCCCACGATAAGCTTTACGAATGTTTGACGTCATAACAATGGTAATAAAAAATTATTCAAAAAGTATCAATAACAAAATGTAACTAGTGAATACTCGTAGAATTCTCACATTTCTACAAACTTCAAATAACTGATTTTATTACAACAAATGATATAATTTACTCCATTGGAGATCTAAACCAAAAAGTGTATTGAAAAATTGTTTAGATGCTTCAAAAATATATCCTTTCGCCATGAGTCCACCAAGCAATTAAAATATGGAAATGAATATCAATGAATATTTCACATATATATTCAGTGGGCATACTTGAAGACTGGCTATAAATCAAATTAACGAAAAAAACAATTTGTTCAGGCCTGTGGCGACTTACCTACACTGTAGGTTAATGGACTGACACCTATCAGAAAACAACTATTCCCCTGGCTAATACCACGAAGGGTATTAGCCAGGAATATATCCAGCAGGTGTCAGTACAGGAATCTTCACGTCTAAGTTGGTAGCAAATTGCCAAAACGACTCTTCTCAATGGGAAGACTTAACAAATTGTCTCTGCTCTGGATTCCTGGCCATACAGGCCTGGAAGGCAATGAGGCTGCTGACTCCCTTACAAAGGAGGGTGCTGCAAGCAGCTTCATCGGACCAGAACCTGTCATTAGCATGGCTGTAGGCTTTGCCAAGCAAACATTGAACACCTGGATGGCAAAAAGATTTATGGACTTCTGGCAGAATCTTCCAGGATTGGCTTACTCCAAGGCGTTTATTCACCCTTCGAAGCTTGTTAATAAACAGTTGTTGGACTATAGTAGGAATGAACTACGATGTCTAACAGACCTTCTTACAGGTCACTGCCATTTGAATCATCATATGCATAGACATGGACTGTCGGAAGACAGTGTGTATCGCCTCTGTTTAGAAAATGATGGAACAGCAGAGCACATACTTTGTGCCTGCCCCGCTGGGGACCGAATCAAGTTTTTAGAGTTCGGCAGAGCCGTACCCTTACCATCTGACCTGAAAGACCACTCACCATACAAACTAATCAGCTTCGTTAAGAAGCTGGGTTTATTTGGTCGAATTTGAATAGGTCTGAGCCATAATAAACCCTTGCGGGTTGCGGTGGAGGGTCGAATAGACCCACTCACTCTAGACCTAACCTAACTCTTACAAAGGAGGGTGCTGCATCAGACCAGAACCTGTCATTGGCATTGCTTTATGTTTTGCCAAACTAACATTGAAATCCTGGATGGCATGAAGATTTGAAGACTTCTGGTAAAATCTTCCAGGATTGACTCAGTCCAAGGCGTTCATTCACCCTTCGAAGCTAGAAGCCAAACAGTTGTTGGACTACAGTAGGGATGAACTACGATGTCTAACAGGCCTCCTTACAGGTCACTGTCGTCTGAATCATCATATACAGACTGTCGGAAGATAGTGTGTGTCGCTTCTGTCTGGAAAATGATTAAACAGCAGGGCATATACTTTGTGCCTGCCCCGCTGCGGACCGAATTAACATCTAACTTGAAAGATCACGCACCATATACACCAATCGGCTTCGTCAAGAAGCTGGGTTTATTTGGTCGAATTTGAATAGGTGTGCGCCACAATAAATCCTTGCGGGTTGCAATGGAGGGTCGAATAGGACCACTCACTTTTAACTTAACCTAACGTCTACAATTTCTGATTTAAAGGGAACTTTCGAATTTCTTGAATTGTCCAAAGCGATCATAGCGATATATTTTGCCATTAAGAGAAAAAACTAAAATCCAAAATGTTGAAACCATGTGATTTGAAATACTCGTAATATCACAAAAAATTACTAGGTTTATCAGTTGTGCATATATACTCGTATCATCCAAGCAACAATTTTGAATATCATCGATGTTTTGCAAATCCTTGATTTCAGTGCCGATCTTGTTCGATTGATGACCTATTTATTTTGTGTAAATTCATATGGAACATAGTATAAAGAAAATAACTTTTGTCTAATTTCTACTAGGTTTATTATTTATTACGACCGGTTTCGGTTTATTAGACTATTTTCAAGAACTAATACATCAAGCCAAGACAAGTACCTAAATATACATTTATGAGGCCACGTACCTGTAATAGGTACCTGAAATAACAAATGTCAACTGAATAATCAATACCAATACTACAATAACTAATTATCTTCTATAATACATCACGATTACCAACTGCTGAATGGATCCTAAACTAGATATCAAAATTCACCAAATTCAAAAGGGGGAGCTGCAATTTATTTATTTCCAATGCTTCCAACAAGTTCATCTCCCTTCCTTTACTGCACGTATGTAGAATTTTCATGTTTCCTTCATTTATTGTGTGGTTTGTTTCTTGTAGAGGCCCGTATATAGCTGATATATTATTATATTATCGGATATCTAAAATTCTTTCACTGGTTAGAAGCTCGTTAATTTAATTGTGAAGACATTCGGAAAGAGAAGTGACCTTCAAGATCAGTTCAATTATAACAATTATTTCAATCACAATCCTGACCATGGGCTAACGAACGCAAAGTATCGATACACTAACAGGCCCCCGCTATGCGACGCCACTGTTTCTCCGAAGTGACAACACTGTTTTCAGAGCATAATATGAAAGCTGAACCGAAAATATTTCACGAAATAGGAATGCCGGGAACAAAATACTCATTTTTCCTGAAGATAAACACAACTATCAGGTATGCCAACCATATTACTTGGACAACAAATGAACACGTGAATATCCTCACTTGATTAACATTTCAATATACAGTTGGACTCACCTAACACATGAACAGATGACACAACACGAGGATTCCATCCAAACCGTAAATAAATCGATTAGAATTCGACTCAAATAGCATTAGCACACACCAAAAATACTAGTTTTTATCGCGCGTCAAAATGCCGATTAAAATAGAATCGTTATCTGAAATGAAAAACGTCTACTCGCACACTCACTCACATGCAATCCGTTAATTCGAAACAGCAAATTAAAACGAAATCGAAAACAATAAAGCAACACATCACAGAAAATATCGTAATAAAGTTTTCGCTGGAAAACGGTCGAAACCATCATATACCAACGCAGGTGAACGATCTATTTTTAGTGCACATAAGTTTTATATTTTAAGAGTGTCGTCAACATGGGATCTGTTTGGAGCACTTCGAGCACTTATGAATTATAAAATCTATTAAGAGTAATTAGAGTTGTATGATAAATATGGCCGTCATGTGTGTTGCATTAAATAAATCGCCAATTCAAAGGTGAATTGTGATTTTTTTTTTCAGGGAATCATCAAAATTTAGGACTATCAAGCTCCATTTATCGAATATAAAGTAGATGACGAGAAACGAAACAACCTGATTTTTTTTAATGTCTTGATCATTTAGACAATTTCAATTCAACCCAACTAAACTGTATTGAGGCAGAATAATCATAAGATTGTCAGCTTAAATAAATTCTAAAAACCAATGCATATTATATTTACTCTCCTTAAACAATATAGGTACTGCTCATCATAGTAAACACCTGATATAAAAATATCTTCAATGTAGAACAGACCAAATATTTTTCCATAGGCGAACAGAGAACAGAGATACGAACAGATTGATTCTATCTGGGTACCAGGACTCTCAAATGAAAAAGATGATTTTTGCGCCAGACATCTGCGGGGCTTCCAAAATAAATGCTTCGAAAAAAACACCATGGGCAAACCTTTATAAAAGGACTGTCTAAAGAAAAAACGAACTGTATTAACAAACAAGGATCGGTCCATAGTGGGTGGCAGTTGGCCGCATCATTTTAAGTTAAATTTAAAGCACAAACACGTGCCGAAGTTAAACTTCATTGAAACTTTTCGAAAAAAAAGTTTCCCATATGGTGCGCACTTTAATGGTGACACTGTATATGTTCACAGTCTCAGCTGTCTAGTTTGTTTGTGAGAGGTATAAAAGTAATAAGTGTAAGTTGCTTTATCTAGATTCGGTGCGGCTAAAACCGATAGATACTATTTACCTACCTGGAAAATCAGACAAAAAGTTATATAGGTATACTGTACTGTACTGTACTATAAATCTGCTCGCACTTATTTCATCAGGTGAAATCGCGGAGCACAGATATCAATTAATGAAGTGCTGACGATTTTTATGACCCAAAATTGTTAAAAATTTTTAAGGACAAAACACAAGTACTACAGGAAAATCCTTAAGACGCTCTCAGATCGGTGCCTGTGGGAAAGTAGCGATTCACATTGGATTTGAATCGTTGGAGATTAAATCCATTTGGAAAAACATTCACAGGAAGTTCATTCCATATAAACGCAGTTCTCCAGATGAAAGAGTTCTCGAGCAGTGAAGTTCGGGGTGAACTGAGTTCAACTCAGTGAGCAAAACGATGAGCAGCCACAGTTCGTCGTGTATTTCTGATATGTACCCGCTCTTGGTGGAATCAAATGTGCCAAGTCACTTGAACACCTCCCGTAAAAGTATCTATAGAAAAGAGACAAAAATCTAACTTTTCTTAAATGTTCCAAGCTATCAAGGTTGCACGTGATGTTATCGTCTTCAATCAGGCGGATGACTGTTTTCTGGATGGAATCCAGCAACTTCAGGGTATGCTTGAGGGCAGATCTACATACATGAGAACAATACTACAAAGGAGGTCTGATCTGAGCTTTACAAAGAATCAAAAGTTGTTGAGGTATGTACAGTTTTCTGGTTCGGAACAGTGTTACAAGCTTTTTAGAACCAGCCTTTGCAATTTCAGAGACATGATTGTGCCAAAACATATTGGTGTCCATTTTAACCCCCAACAAACTTATCGAAGCAGAAAGCGAAATGGTCTGACCTGACATTATTATATCCGGTTCCGAGACATTTATCTTCTCGGAGAAAACAGATGCCTGGGTTTTTGTGGCATTGAATTAAACCTGGTTACTTTCACCCCATTTCGAAATCACTTCTAGATCCTCATTAAGATATGCAACCTTTTGCTGCCGGTGAAGATGTGCCTCCGTAGCCGATGTCCTGGAATCCAAATGGAATGACGAGACAAGTGTGCTGTCGTCAGCAAAGCAATATATTGGATTGTTGTTTTTTTTCAATAAGTCGTTGATATACAATAAAAAAAGGGTTGGAGACAATATGGATACCTGGGGAACATCAGCGTTGATGGTGAAAGTATTCGAGATATGTCCATCAACAGCCCTTTGCAGGGAAAGTTCTTTCAGGAAGCTGAAGAGCCATACACAGAAATGATCCGACAAACCATAGCATCGAAGTTTGACCAGCAAACCCTCATGCCACACACGGTCAAAGGCCTTAGAAATATCAAGCGTTATAAATTTTGATACTCCGTGTTTCTCGATTGCGTTATTCTAAATATGGGTGAAATACTATAGAAGGTCGACTGTTGATCTTTGTTTCCGTTACGTTTTAGTGAATTTTATAAATCAAAATATTGAAATATTGAAAAAAACTATTACGGTCATCTTGTTGAAGTTACATCTGTCAACTTAGTTGCCATTTATTCAGTTTGTTTTTCCAAATCACCATGGCAAATAATAAAATTCTGTTATCAAAATGGGTGTCCTATTCAGGCAATGTACCACGTGCTTCGCCCATTTTACGGTCGCCATAATCCTCCTACAGAGAGAACTATTTCCAATGTGGTGGATAAATTTGAGTCCACTGCATTAGTAAACGACCGATCAACACCCGTACATCGACGAAACGCAAAATCTGCTGAAAACATCGTCGCTGTTTGTGAGAGTGTGCAGGAGAATCCGAGGCAGTCGATTTCGCGTCGCTCACAAGAACTCGGCCTCGAAGTCGCAGATCACAACTTGGCGAATTTTGCGTCGTGACTTGGTCCTGCACCAGTACAAAAATCAACCGACCCAGGAACTGAAGGTAAACGACCATAAACAACGACGTGTGTTCGTTGAATGGGAATTGACCCTAATTTTCATCGAAAAATCATCTTCAGCGATGAGGCCCATTTCTGGATGAATGGGTTATGTTAGGTTGAGTCCAAATTGAGTGGGTCTATTGGACCCTTCACCGCAACCCGCAAGGGTTTATTGTGGCTCACACCTATTCACAATCAAATGGTCTTTCAGGTCAAATGTTGAGAGTACGGCTCTGCCGAACTCTAAAAACCTGATTCGGTCCCCAGCGGGGCAGGCACAAAATATGTGATTAAATCCATTTGGAAAAACATTCACAGGAAGTTCATTCCATATAAACGCACAAAATATGTGCTGTGCTGTTTCATAATTTTCCAAACAGAGGCGACACACACTGTCTTCCGACAGTCCAAGTCTCTGCATATAATGATTCAAATGGAAGTGACCTGTAAGAAGGCCTGTTAGACATCGTAGTTCATTCCTACTGTAGTCCAACAACTGTTTGGTAACAAGCTTCGAAGGGTAAATAAACGCCTTAAGCTGCCTACACACGTTACGATTTTTCGTACTGCATGTTGAACTGCAAATTGTAAAAAAAATCGTTCGGCATGCAGTACAGCCATCTTTCATCCACACCTCACAACAGCTCGTACTGCCGAGGTTTAGTTTTCAATCTTTTAAAAGTCACGTCTGAAGGAAGTTCTTACATTGTTCATTTTCTTTTCATTACTTCTTGAAATTCGTTTGGCAACAACTCGTTAAATTATGCAAATAAAATATCGTAACTTGAATTTATTTTCATTTTATTCGAGTAATCTTTTAATTTTACATCCCACAGGCAGCTGTTTTCTTTAGATACGGCAATAAACTCTTCCCAGAACGTCTTATTTTTCATATCCATTGTAAAGATATGTAATATATAAAACCCTTTTCCCTAAATGATTTGCTTTAAACGATATAAAATCGTAACTCCCGCAGCAATACGCTCCACACGTTCCAATTTGTCTACAACCCCATCCCAGACACGACCGTTGATACGATATGTTATGGAAGCTCCGTACTGCGAACGATTCGATGACTGCATACTGCAAATCACCCAATTTGCCTACACACGTTCTGATTTATCGTTACTGCGGCAGTACCGATGTATATCGTTACTGCGGCAGTACCGATATATATCGTACTGCAAGCAGTACGAAAAATCGTAACGTGTGTAGGCCGTTTTACAGTGAGCCAATCCTGGAAGGTTCTTGCCAGAAGTCCATGAATCTTCTTGCCATCTAGGTGTTCAATCTTTGTTTGGCAATGGTAAAAACAATGCCAACGACAGCTTCTGGTCCGATGAAGCTGCTTGCAGCACCCTCCTTTGCAAGGGAGTCAGCAGCATCATTGCCTTCCAGGCAATATGGCCAGGAATCCAGACCAGAGACAATCTGTTAAGTCTTCCTATCGAGGAGAGTCGTTTTTGGCAGTTTGCTTTCAATTTAGACGTTGGTCGGTAGGAGCTAAGAGCTTCCAACGCCGCTTGACTGTCCGAATGACTTGTGTATGAGGTTGGATTCTTCCAATCTCTCCATACATAATTCAATAGCGTAAATTTCTGCTTGAAATACAGTCGCATAGGTTCCCAGGCAAGTTGATATCTCTGACCTAGGTTTGCGACTGAAAACACCTGCACCAGAACCGGAAGGTGTTTTTGATCCATCTGCTCGGGAACAGTACTTTATAAGGCAGTTCGTAGTTGACAGTTGGAGGCATAAAGGCAGAGGTCATTTCCAGTCTTTAATAACGACGTTGGCCAGACCATCACTGTCAGCGGCGAGCACTATAGGTCGATGATTACAAAACTTCTGTTGGCCTGAATTGGATTATCTGGACACCAACGACATGTGGTTTCAACAGGACGGTGCTACGAGTATGTGCCACACAGCTTATGCCACATTGGCTATTTTGCACTAGTGATTTGAGGGCATGGTTATCTCATGTGGAGGTGATGTGAACTGGCCACTGAGATCGTGCGATTTGACACCGTTAGGCTTTTTCTTGTGGGGTATTATTGAGTTGCAGGTGTATACGAATAAGCCACAAAGCATAACAGTCCTCAAAGCCAACATTACCCATGCAATCAGTCATATTCATCCTGATTTAGGCACCAGAGTCATGGAAAATTGGACGTATCGGATACGATCTACCCAGTGAAGTAGATCGGACATTTGAAATATGTGATATTCCACACATAATGGCATCAAACGAATAAAAAATTTCGATGATTTCTCATACATTCGCTCAATGAAAGACCCTATATTATTAACAAAATTCTCATAAGCGTTTTTGAAATTTTCTGGTGTATAATAGAATATAAAGCGTTTTCTTCCGCCATTTTTAAACAATCAATGGAATCAATAATTTAATCATTTGAAAAACAACGATAGAATATTTTCAAAATCAAAATTAGAAAAAAATAGTTTATGGAACACGTTAGGAAATTTAATTTTGTGTAACATGCTACTTCATGCTCATCCCGCGAAAGTCACGCTCGTTACACAAAATAAAACATAAATTGATGTTTATAATGCTGCAAGTTTGATTTTTTGTTATCGATAATTAATTGTTCATTGTCATGTTATTTTTCAGGAAAAGATAAGAAATATAATTTGAATTTGACTCTTCGAGGAAAACTATAACACTCAGTCCACAATAGAGATCCAATTAACGTCAACACTGCGTCAAAGTTGAATTATCCGACACTAACTGACCGTTTTCATGGAGAGAAAAGAATACAAAAAACTCGAATTCACATGTCCCAAGAGCCGCTCATTCGTCAAAGCATATTTCCTCAGACAGTGAAGAATTTACCAGAACAACTTAAAACAGGGATGTGCATCATAATTAATGGATTTCTGGATATAAACTGTGCCAAATTTGTCGTCGATTTGGTTTGCGATAGAAGTCCCAAAAGCGATATAGCCCTGCACATAAAACCAGTCTTGTCCAGGAGATATATAGTGAGAAACTGTCGAATTGGTTAGTAAATTACATAGGTTGTGTTTAAAAAATTCACTCTTAACGCAAATGCAGATTATGATCTCGCGATTATAGATTCGTTGCCATATAATACTTGGAGCAACCTTTCAAAAACCATATCGCACATACACAACAAATGAAGTTATCGATTATATATTACATTATGTTGTTTTAAAAAATAGCACGATGCAATGCGCACCAAATATTCGTCTTAAATTTAATTTGTGATATATCATAACTGTCAAATAGAGTAGTTACACTGTCAGAGTATAACTAGTCTAGTTGAAAGCAGTCTAAGCGAGTTTACTTCAAGTGAGTAACAAAACAGTAGATAAAAACCAAAGTCTTACTTCCTAAAACTGGATTAGTGAGAATGTTTTAAACAAAGATGATACATGTTTGAAAAGTAAGGATGTATAATGACTAACAAGAAATTGGAGAGCCGAAAGACTAATTTAATAAGTGAGAGACAGTGATCATATCTAATAAAAGTTATCATAATCTGATAAAGACACATAGGCGTTTTTCATATTCATTTTTCAGTTAGTATAATTCGTAAATGAATTTTAAAATTATTTGTTTTGTTTGTGAAAAATATTGTCAGAAACAGGAAAATGATACCTAATTTTGCAGCCATGAAGATATTCAGAAATTGATTATTAAATATGTTGGGAAATTACTTGACATATTCAGACAACTTTTGAGTTGATTATTTATTACTCTTTTTTTTTTTAATTTCTATATGCATAATCCAGAGTATGAAATGATAATAAAACAAAAAGAAACGCAAAGAAATCATGAATAATTCCGTTTGGATTCCAAAACCGATTCAATTTCATAACAAAATAATCATTATTTATTTACTGTTATCAACAAGATAAATATAAATACTAGGACATAATTTTGTCTATGTTTAGATGATTAAATCTGAATAAACAAAAACAAACTTCTCAGAGTCATTTTATCAACTTAATATCATACCAATTTGAAATTATAGACATTTGGACAAAGTGAAACATTTTATAAATATTCAAGTCAAATTTAGTTAGCTCCCTAACTATTGGAAGGTAGGTTGGTTGCACTATATCACTATATATAATAATACATGCTTTTATTGAAAGGTCACTCACTACAAGAATCAATAACCTAACCTAACAAATGGCAGAATTCAACATCTGCACATGATCAAGGGGGAAATTGCTCTTCCATCCAAACAGCCATCATTTGATAAGAAATGATACAATAAAGTACGAAAGTATTCTACAAAGATAATTATTATGTAGGGTTTCAATGACAAAATAAAATGAAACAAATTATTTAAGACGATTTCTTACCTAATTCAAAGTAATTAAGTAGGAACATTAAGTAGGGTTATGTATCTTTTTCAAAAAAATTTTTGCAACCGTTGGACCTTTCTCGTACCTTCTTCTACGAGTAATTGGTTTCCTAAAGCAAAATAAAGGTATTGTGTCTATAAATTCTCAACACAAAAACCATTCGTAAAATTTCAAAGAACAAATACTAACTTCAACTAACAGTAACTTCACTCCTTTAATTTCTAATAGGTGGTCAATGGGGAGAAGAGGAATTGACTTCGATGCAGAAATTCAGCTTGGAACGAAACAAGAAATTCGTTATGGATATCCTTCTGGCGGAAAAAGAATTTCTAGTTGCTATAAATGGAAACCACTTTTGCGGCTTCATTTATAGAATACCCTTATCATTTGTCAAAGTTATCAAAATTAATGGCAATCTCTCAATCAATAATATACAATATGAAATGATTGATATATATCCAAGGCCATCGACTAGACCTGATCCGATTCAGTTGATGCTGGGAGGAGTGATAGGTAGGTTCAAGAATCTTTATCGTATAATTCATTATTTACAATACCCCTCTGGGTTTGAAATCGGGAAGGACGAGAGAAGATGAATTCAATAATACCTCACAGTAAAAGGTGGAACTGAAACTTCTGGCGTAGAATGAATCCAAAACACTCATGAAACTCAGTTTTCTCCATCTCCTGAAGACACCAACTTGGTTGGTGAAACGCGCATCGAGAAGAGTATTGCATATCTGGTGGTTGTTTTGAATACCTCCCAAATTGTGTTTGTTTCTATATTACGTTCACACTCATTTGGCAAACATTTTCGACGCTCATTTATCATTCAGTTGAACGCCTTTCCATATGATCAGAAGCTCAGACAGCACAAGCACAGCAGCAATTGCAATCCTGTGCATGAATATGTATGTCTCGTCAAATGGGAAAGAATATACGATAACCTTATATATGACTAAAGTAGATAAACATATTAGATCATCTAAAGGAACAGTTTGTTCAGGTTAGTCTCAACTCACTACACTGTAGGTTAATGGACTGACACCTGTCAGAAAACAACTACTCCTCTGGCTAATATCACGAAGGGCGTTGGATTATATCCGACGGGTGTCAGTGCAGGATTCATCACTGAAGTGTTATTCCTGCATATGCTGTTTGCGATGCAACTGCCGCAATAGATTTTCAATTATTAGAACACACTTGCAGACCGGTTTCGGGCTGTTTGGCCACTCGTCAGTGCAAGGTAGTGTCTATCATCAACATAAAGTCGATGATTTCTGATAATTGAAAATAGAATTACTTCAGAGTATCATTCCTTGGACTAGGCTGAAGCGGACAACAAACAACAGATTTGTCATCGCCCCATCTGCCTTTGAACGAGGTAACCAACCGCATATCCGAAATTTGCCCAATTCTTCGTATAAGGAAAAAACTTCACATATAGTCAGTGGGCATACTTGAAGACTGGCTATAAACTCCCTACACTGTAGGTTAATGGACTGACTAAAGTATAGGGAGTCGAGACTGGCCTGAACAAATTGTTCCTTTAGCATCTCCATGGCACACTCCTATGCTAATGCAAAAGAAATATTTATGTATGCAAAGGATTCAAATGTACTCGTCTCAGGAAAAAGCACACTGTATATATAGTAGTGAGGGATAGTATCACAGTAAGTGACTTTTGAAATGACGTCTTTATAATGGAGCATCAATGTTCTCTCGCGAAAACTAGGTACTTCAGTGCTTTCTTTGGAAGTACTGGAATTGCCGTATTATACCTAGTAACAACCAAATAATTGTACCCGGCGCCATTCAGTTGTTAATGAGGTAAGAAATTTGAAGTTTTGAATAAAAATATAGTTCATCAAAGCCGATTAAAATATTAATTGTGGTATTTTGGTATTTCGGTGTTTCATCTCAATATATTATTATGTTTATCGTATATAATCGTTTTTAGTCATATATTATTATAGATATAGCTACTAAAGTTTGATGAGCTGTCAGTCAAAATTAATTGTGCTTTTTCAAAACTACTTCAATCTCTAGAATCTCCATCCAGCAGTTCTTCGCCAATGAGAACACCTTTAGCAGCAGTTCTGCCCCAAGGATTCCCAAACGACAGTGAATTGCAAATCAATGGTTACATCAAAATAGTTTCCAGAACTTTTTTCATAAATTTACAAAATGGAATTCACACCTGGCCACATCCCGATGTACATTTTCATCTCAAGTCAATTTCGAGTCCAGCATTCGATAACCAGACATTTTTTTACAATACGAGGAGTAATGGCGTCTGGGGACGACAGGAACGAGCCAATATCTATAGGTTTGTGATTTTTTTTGAGATTCGAATCTGTGTTTGTTACATCCTGCTCATACATTTCATGTAATCATTACAGATAAAAGTCACAATATAGTCAAGATATACAATACAACACTGATTGAAATAATAATATACTGTACAGAAGTGTAGAGGAATCACTTTGGCCAACAATCATATCATGATACTCCCAAAAAAAAAAAACTATTCAAAAAATATTAAAGAATGTCAAACTAAGTTTGGCAAAGTACATTTTCAGATACACTACACAAAATATATAATGGGCTGACACACTATACCCTCATGTTGTTATGATAAGGAATTCATACACAACGTGGTGTCCACACAGCTGGTGTACAAGAATCTATCAGAAGAAGTCTATTTTGACGGAACTCATTATAATATATAGACTGGCTTAAATTAGTTTCGGCCCTTGGCCGTGACTTCCCTTTATTGTAAGAGGTACCTGTAAATGGGATTCATCCGGTTGAGTTACGCGAGTCTTGCCAAAGGATGAATAGTACCTAGACTTTATTGGCTATTGTCAATGGAGTCTCTGGAATATCAGGGATATCATAGAACTTAGCCTTACATTCAAGCAGGGGGCACCATGAGAGTAAACAATCCCCTCGTACATACTCACGGGAACTGAATGGGTCACAGGTATGGACAGAAGGAGGAAGAATTAAAAAACTACTCTATTGACTATCAATGAGAGAAGTACAAGTCAACATACAAAACAAGGGGGTTTCAAATGTCCCTTACAAAGTTATACTATCAGATATACTGCCGTTGAAAAAACTTTATAATGCCAGTGATGAAGGACATGAGGAAGACATCATCGAATCGGCTTACCTTTCTCACCATAGTGTGGAACCACCACCAATCATGAATGTGGAAGAGATGTTGAAGGCCCACTGAGCAGACAAATCATAGTTCATAACTGGTTGGGAAACCAATACACACCCCCTAACGGGAAAAAGCACAAACACCAACGAAAGAGGTGAGCATTTCCTAAAGTTTATCATGACAACGGGGTTAGACATCTAGGCAATAAACCTACTTTCATAAACAGGGAAGTGTAGAGAAGTCATGAATGCCGCGAAGAACAGAAAAAAAATTTGCTCTACAGGGTACCAGGACACTACATTAACCTCAGATATAAATTCTGAACCATCTGTAGGGATACTAATTTTCAGTACCAGAACAATTAGGAAATGGGTCCATAAAACAATTAAAGAGTACTGAGAGTCTATACAGGGTGATTCAAACTTCAGGAGGTGATTCCTCACAATATTCTAATATGAATTGTCCAAATAAATAAATGTCCGGAAACGCTTCGTTTCCAATATACAGAATGTTGAAGTTTTATTTTTATTTTCGTTTTTTTCAAATAACTTTTGAAATACTGAACTTAATTGAACGAAACTTGGTAATAGGAGGTTTTTTGAGGTATCGAATTCGAACCTGATGTTCTTATTGCTCTTACTCGTGGGGGCGCCACCTACATGTTTTTTTCTTTTTTAAAGATTCATAACTTTTTTGGGCGTACTTCTAGCACATTTTTCAGTAAAAAAATNTTTGTCCAAAGTACTTTTGAATCACCCTGTATAACTAGAAACATATAAGGCGAAATCTTTGTAAAGAGACTATTCTGAGAAAAGAACTGAAGGGCTGCTTCAACAAACTGTGGATCTGTTCCACAAAATTGCAGAGTGACTTACTGAACAGTATACCTCTAGCTAGAGGATACCTGAACTGTAGGCAATGTAACAAAAGAGAAGTGATAGAGAGACACTGAATTACAGGAGGAAAGCAATTTATATGACAAATATCCAACAAAGGATCTGTACAAAGTAGTACAGGGAACAAGATTGTTGTAAATAGTGTAATGAGAAGAATGGAGGAAAAACAATCCCAGGATATCAGGCGTGGAGACTTGATGAAATTAACTATTCAGACGGCTCCAAATAGCTCGGTTATGAAAACTGCAAATAGATTTCCTTCAACTCAAATGACCACTATCATTAGAATATTATGAAAGCAGACAATTTATACAAATATTATATTCAAATATTTATTCTATAACATTTTTGAGACTCCAACCGAAACATGGAAATGACTGAAAGTGTATTTTTCACTTGGTATTATCAAATAGGGTTATCTTATAATTATAAGATGGTAATAAAATAAAACTACCCTGTTCACATTTCCAAAAAAAAATATGCAAAAAAATTATATAATTCTATACACTAATTTTCATTATGAAAAATAGTGAAAATTTAATGTGTTTGATAAGTGTTCAAAACTGTAAAATATAAGAAAGAAAAAACTTTAATATACTCTTCCAGTTCTTCTCTGGCTAATAATACCAAGACGAACATTAAATTCATCAAATTTCTTGAGATACTGGAACTGATCAATTCACTCTTCTTTTAAAAAGGGACATCTTAAATGTCTTGTCAGACAAAATGTGTTTGCTTACTGCAGGTATAGTAAATCATTACTAGGTCCACCAAGATTTTTGAAAAATTACATCAAATTATCTTGATTTTTTGAAGTACCCATTGTAAATTTATATTTCTGTAAATCTGGAGAATTTCAATTCCTATTTCTGAGACTGAGACAACACAATCATATGTTCTTCCTTCTCGAAAAGTTTTTATAAAATCTGTTTACAGGTTTACGCCTGCCACTAATTTCAACGTGGTTATCCAAAGATTGAAAGACCGATATTCAATAAAAGTCGATGACCAACTGCTGGGCGAATTCAAATTCAGAGAAAAAGTTGACAAGATCAATACACTCTATATTCAAGGCGAAATATACATCAATAGTGTATATATGAGAACAATCTTTCAATAAACTGTGTACCCATCTAGTTAAATCAAACTTCTAGAAGCATTTGTGAAAAAGTGTTGTTATTATGATGATGTATTCTCAGGTGTGTGTGTGTGTGTGTGTGTGTGTGTGTGTGTGTATCTGTGACAAGAGGATGAATAAGAGCCCATTGTTTGTCACTAAAGTAACCTTAGATATACCAGGTGTCCTCTCATCATAAGAAGCCTGGTCATGGTAAGCAGAGCTTTACAGTGATGCACCTTCTATCTTTAGTCATGACAATGCTATCATGGTCACAGTGATGCAGGGCATTACCCTGATGCACCTCTTATCCTTAATTACTTGAGGGACCTTTCCAAAATTTGATTCCTTATCTACAGTAGAGGTGAACGTTGACTGAACGACCTCAACTGACCTCCCTGTAACATCAGATCCCGACCAACCAACAGCTTCCTAGTTCTCCAACCCTGAATAAAGGAAACAAACTCTCCCCGATCGAGTCAGCAAAACGCTTACACTCAAGAGATAATTCACCCAAACGAGAGGTGATGAAGCCCTACATGGTCGAATCTAATGTACCGTCAGGTGTAGGTGATTTACTGAAGTCATCGTACGGAAAGGTTGCTGCGGGCATCAAAGTGGAAATTCGTCAACATCAAGATCGATCAATTAACTGAAATTTCTTCAGTACGATACCGAGAATGATGTCATTCTGAATTTTATAGTACTATATTTTCCAGTATTACTAGAAAATAATTTCATGAGTTTCATACTTCGTTTTTGATTTCGAAAGCATCTTCAATATTAAATTCAAGTAGTAACTATGAAAATTATCGATAAAAATAATCGATAATCATAACGATGATATATTTATACTCAATCTTCAACAAGTACATTCCCTCTGTTTATATCTGAGTAGGTTAATAATTATACACACGAATGTGGATTTCATCAATACAAACTTTCTGTGAATATTTTGCATGTTTCTCATAATACACTGAAGGAAGATGGATATCTTTGTTCTGAACTCGACAAACATTCTTGTCAAGAAATTTATTAAAAAGATTATTTCGCTTTTTGTTTTGCGGGCGTACCGCGTAGATGTTCACTCAAAATTTTAGGGTTCAGGATTGCAGCAAAAGAGGCAAATTTAAGTCTCTGTATGGAAAAAAATCATTATGCTCCCATAGAATAACTATTAATAATACTTCATTTGGTAAAATTAAATAAACTACATCACTGATCAAATTCAAAAATGGAAATATCTTGAACCACTGACATATTTTTCTTCCTTTTTTTTTATTTTGTTATATTATATGTAACGTTATTATCATCATGAATGGTCAATGATAGAGTTGAATGATAACAACATATCATTTCTACAAAATGGTTAAGGCGTTCGCGGCCGAGGTTTTCCGTGTCACTATTTTTCGAGTTTAAAGGCCGTCGAATTTTGGAACTTCTTTCTGACGTTTCGCTGGCGTGAGTTGTTGCTTCTTCAGAGGTTTATACATCCTGAGTTATCTTCGATGAATGTTGGACAAATGTTATTGACAATTTACTTAATCCAGATTCAGGTATTGGCACACCACACTATCTGAGTCAACTTGAACTCGCTTTACGCAATTTACCTAATCCAGGTACAGGTATTAGCAAACCAAACTACCTGAGTCAACATAATTACGCTTTACACAGCCGTAATATTCAGTCATCGGAGATAGGTTAGGTTTAGGTTAGGTCTAAAGTGAGTGGGTCTATTCGACACTCCACCGCAACCCGCAAGGGTTTATTGTGGATCACACCTATTTACACTCCACCAAATAAACCCAGCTTCTTAACGAAGCCGATAAGTTTGTATGGTGAGTGGTCTTTCAGGTCAGATGATAAGAGTACGGCTCTGCAGAACTCTAAAAACCTGATTCGGTCCCCAGCGGGGCAGGCACAAAGTATATGCTCTGCTGTTTCATCATTTTCCAAACAGAGGCGACAGACACTGTCTTCCGACAGTCCGAGCCTCTGCATATGATGATTCAAGGCCTGTTAGACATCGTAGTTCATCCCTACTGTAGTCCAACAACTGTTTGGTATCAAGTTTCGAAGGGTGAATAAACGCCTTGTAGTGAGCCAATCGTGGAAGATTCTGCCAGAAGTTCATAAATTTTATTGCCATCCAGGTGTTCAATGTTTGTTTGGCAAAGCCTAAAGCAATGCCAATGACAGGTTCTGTTCCGATGAAGCTGCTTGCAGCACCCTCCTTTGCAAGGGAGTCAGCAGCCTCATTGCCTTCCAGACCAGTATGGCTAGGAATCCAGACCAGAGACAATATTTTAAGTCTTCCTATTGAGGAGAGTCGTTTTTGGCAATTTGCTACCAATTTAGTTGTTGCTCGGTAGGAGCCAAAAGCTTCCAACGCCGCACGAGTGTCCGAGAATATTTTTATTGACTTGTGTATGAGGTTGGATTCTTCCAATCTCTCTGCACACAATTCAATAGCGTAAATTTGAAATACTGTCGCATATCTCTGTCCTGGGTATACAACTAAAAACACCTGCACCAGAACCGGAAAGTGTTTTTGATCCATCTGTGAACCAACAACTATCTGCTCTTAATATTTTCTTCTCCTAGAGGATCCAGTCCTCTCTAGTCAGGAACAGTACTTTATAAGACAGTTCGTAGTTGACAGTTCAGCCGCCAGGCAATTGCACCATAAGTGATCGTTGGTCTGACAATCATCACATAAATCCAATGGATTTGTTTGGAACCTAAACCCCAAGTTTTACCACAAATCCTTTGACATGTCCATAGAGGCAGTCTGGCTTTGTGTAAAACTTTTTCCAAGGGACCGTTCCAGGTGAGTCTTTTATCAAGGACAATACCAAGATATTTCACCTCCGTTACAAATGGAATGACCTCACCATTGAGGCAAAGTGGCGTTAGATCGTCTAATTTTCTCCTCCTGGTGAAGGGGAGTATCAGAGTTTTGCTGGGGTTGACAGACATCTGCTCCCTCAGGCACCAACTGTGAACAATATCACAGATCTACTTTTCTTCTGTCGAGGGCATCAAGCAGATTATCCATCAAGAGCGACCACAGAAGGGGAGAAAGTACCCCACCTTGAGGGCAGCCCCTGGTGACTCTGAACCTAATGGCCTCGCCTTGAAGAGTCGTAAATGAGTTCGGTTTACCAGCATGGCATCGATCCAGCCAGTTATAGTCGACTCTATGCCTTTTCTAGCCAGAGACGATCCTATAGATTTGGGTAGTACATTGTCAAATGCTCCTTCAATATCAAGAAATACAGCAACCACAATCTCCTTGTTGTCAAGGGATTGGGAGATTTTCTCTACAAGGTTGTTTGATGCTAAATCTGTCGATTTGCCGGTTTGATAAGCATACTGGTGGTTATTCAGGGGGGCCAGCCACTCGCGCCAGTGAACCATCAAGAAGAAATTCCAAAAATCGACGGCCTTCAAACCCAAAAAATACTGGCACTGAAATCATTTCTAGCTCATTTAGTTTCGGAGGTATATGAAAAGGTGAAAATTTTCATATTTTATTTTTGTCTGAATCTTCTTCATTTACTGAGATTCGGAGATATGTTCAAACTTTGTCACAGGAACTATTGATTAGCATGTATTCATAAAATTTCTATACAGGATGATGCCGTTCATCTCGGGCCACCCACAACTTCAAAAAGTTCTTTCAATATTAAGAAAATTTCTCCCCGTTATTCTTGGGAATTTCAATAATATGGTTTCATCGGATCTTTTTATTTTCATTTTATATTTACTATGACTCTGATAATAGCTCGAATAGATCATATAGAATACAATAGAACCACATGATTTTTGGAAAACTCTTCGACACCCCATTTTCATTTAAACTTACAGTATTTTCAGAGAACTTAGCAAATTTTAGGTACTATTGAAATAACAAAGAATAATTTTTTTTTTTGAGAATAAGGCTCGGTATTGCTTCCATTCGAATGATTATAAGGGCTGTAATAAAAATACAAAAATTAATCTAATGATCATCAAATATTTGAAATTTTCAGTCTCGTCCCTTGAAAATTTCAGTGATAAATTTCAAACATATTTCCGATATCCCTGTATGTAAAGAAGATATATAGTCTAAGATGAAATTTTTGTAATTTTCCAACCTCAGGCAGAGATCACAATTCAAATAGCCCCTTATAAACATCTATTTTATTTTAATAGCTAATAGAAAGTTTGATTCATAGTTATTAATACTTCGTTGAATTCTATTGTCTAGAGAAGATAAAAATAAAACCGGTTGATACATAGATACATATATTAACTTTCAAATTCACTAATTGCCATAATGTAGAAAAATAGGAATTTTGTCCATAACATATAAATAAAATACAAATTCTCATACAATTTATAAAATTGGTAAAGTACACAACATAAACTTAAAATTAAATTGAAAAGACTATATGCACAGTACAATGTCTGTCTCTGTTGCAAAGATTCAAAAACTACTATGCAATCGCAGTTTTGGTGTCTGAATACATTCTCCAGATGGTTTAATCAACAATAGCCTGTTATAAACAAATATGATTCAATTTCAAGAAATCACACTGAAAAATGTTTAGGAAACCTCATAAAATACCCACAAAACAATTCAACTTTTGCTACTTCTAGTATTTAAATTTGTCCCCACTTTCTTTCTTTATTTACAATTGACACATCCCTCTAATACATTATTTTTATAAAATATATATGATATATTCATATTTTCTATTTACATTTGACTAAATTCTCTGTTTGACACATTATGTTTCAACACTGAATGTCATTGGTGTAATTTTCCAAGTTGGTTTTCCTAAATTCAATCACAAATGTTTACAACGGACCCAGCCTAGTACTCTTGTCTCTTATAAGAATCAGACTTCTCGATAAAGCTTCGTTTCTATGTACATAAAGGTACATAAAACTAACGTTTCAACACCGGCGCTTCAGGCCTTTTTTTTCGAAGACTAAAAATAAAAACATAAAATGTTTTTCATTTCCGTAAATTTACCCCGAACTTGTAACGTTCCTTAATACACACTGTAAACATCAAATCATTATTAATACAAAAAAAAAATCTATTGTCCCATTTAACCTGAAACTACTACCTCTTCTTTAGNGCTTCTTTTCTTATGATTTTGTTAATGATGAAAATATTTCGAATAAATTCAATACAGTAATAAATCAAAACCTGTTTGAATCCAGTGGGGTGGTCAGAATTTTGATAAAAGTTGTAAAATTGAATTGGTGGGATAATTAAATGGAATATTTTTTAAACTTCATTCTCTTTTAAATTTTTTGCATTTTGACGCAATTTTGACTTGGATGATTTTGACTTGCTTGTTAAAAAGCTTGTCGAGAGATAAAGCTTTATTTCTAGTGAGGGAATACTGTTTTCATTGTATTCAAATTCAGACTGCCTCTTAATAGATGCTGAGTTCCGACTGAAATGATGTTTGTGAGAGGTTGAGCAGATATAGAAAAATGTTCGGCGCAAATATTTCTGTCACTTCCATGGGATTCCCAATAGTTTCAGATATATGTCTTGCCTTCGGCACAAGAATACCTACTTTTTCCGAGTTGATTGTTTACTCAGTTTTCATGTTTTTTCAATTTCATTGCTGGCATTACTATTTTTTGTGGAATACTGGTCTATTCTACTGTCTGATGTTTTTTTTGCTCTCTTCTGATGTTTTTTTGGTCTTTCAATCTACTTCCTACAATAACGATCCTTTGTAAATCTACCAACTAATAGATAACATGTTGTTAGCAACTACCACAGTATTGGAGTCACTTTTGAAGCCAGTTTCCCCATTAGACCACTAAAAATGCCCATCAGAGTTACGCGCAAAACGTTCAGAGTCAATTTCTTCATGAGACCACGACTACCTAGCCCGGTTAACCATAATTCCTGTTCGACTTCTATCCAAACTTTCTATAATATTTTAAAGGCATCTCATTTGTTTTAAGAAAGAACACTATAAATGAAAAATGCTAATGAAAATACTAAAGTGTACATTCACAGTTTCCTTCTGTTATAAAGTTATGTGCACCCATAAACTCAACCAGGTACAGACCAAACCCAAAGGCAAAATGATTTTTTTTTATTTCATTCATTAATTCATTTATGAATGCACTGACCTGTTACTGGATGAAAATACATAACACTCTCCAGGATAATATTTATACAATTTTGACGCCATAAATTTGAATCAATAGCGTTTCACTACCAATCCAACTGATGAAGCTACCGTGTAGTGAAACGTGTCTTCATTAAAGATTGTATAATTATTATCATGGATAGTATTATTTTGTTCATTTATAGAATTTATCAAAAAATATGCTCACTGAAAAAGTACAAAGAACGTTACCAAGTTCAGAGACGCAATTATCCCCTTTACAAAAAACGACTTACCTTTTCTGGCTTCATTGGCACCGGTCGAGTTCCCATGCCCCTCTTGCCACCCCGTCCCCTTCCAGGACCGCGAGGTTTTCTTGGTTTTATACCCAATCTGTCACAGACAGAAGGACCCCTGCAGCTTCGCTTTGGACGACCAGATTCGATTGCCGGTTGCTGAAGCGAGCCTTCTTCTTCTCCTTCTTGTTTCGACTTGATTTTGAAAGCCGAATCTTCTTGTTCTTTGAATTCTTCACGTACCTCAATTGGAACCTACAGAATGAATATTTCATATTCTTTGAAAGACATTTTTTGTGGAGGACTCGATAATATTTCTTACTACTGTTTAAAATTATAAAAGTGGTAAGGCATTTAAAATAGTACCCATGTTGAATAAATAATAATAAACAGCAATCATAAAATCATGACTGTTTTTTATTTGCTTGCTATCTCTGAATATCCCGGATTGTTTAGCCCTAAAAAGAATCAGGTTGGTTGCGCTCTTCCAAGATGATTTTATCTCTTCTGAAGTCGAACCTCCTTTAATCTACGCCACTAGGCTGGGAGGAGGGTTTGTAAAGTTATTCTTTGAACTTGAAATCGTCAGCTATCATAAACGATTTCAAATGGAACCTGAAGTGTCAAACGACTAAAGTCGTTGCTGAAACTTCGAGATATAACATTTGTCCTCGCAGTCAATGCACATACCACTGATGATGCCTGCTGCAGTAGCAGACGAAACATTTGGTACTCAAGTTCCATTCCACTACAATTTTATTCTCCCTAATCGTGGCTCTGGCAGTGAAAACCAATGTTCTACATTAAATTATATTTCTTACCTTCCTTGGTCTTCCTCTTTTCTTAGGTGTTGGAGTCGTAGATGGAGTAGTCATGACGGAATCAGACTTAGGAGTTCCTTTAGGACTATCTGTGCCAAGCTTTTGCAAGGTTAAATTGAATGATGGTTCCTCTTTGGATTCGTCTATAAGAATTACGCTGCCACTATCCTGGGATCTGGAATCTTCACTTATAACAATGGGTGAATTCAACTTAGTTTCAATTATCTGAATTTCCTCAGTAGTTTCAATTTCTCTTTGTCTGGATTTGGAAGAACACCTTGATGCCCGCACCGGAAATTCGCTCAATTTCAACCTCTTGGGTTCAGTTGGAGAGTCTTGTGAGAGATCCTTGTGTTTGGAAGATCTGATTGCTTCAAATTGAGGATTTTCAATGTCTTTTTGTTTCAACTTCATATCACTTCCTGGAATAATGAACGGAATTTTTTCAGAAAAAAAAAACAAAATAAAAACAGATTTTCATACTTTGAGAATAGATCATATCAAAAACCCTATGCAAACTTATAGGATATAATAAAATCACCAAGCAAATAAACACATCAGCCTTCGATCAAGTTAATCACAGTCTACTGTTACCAAAATTGATACAATTCATACAATTTGGTACAATTCAAACAGTAAAAATAGAAAATTTTTAGTTGAATAATACCACATCTCCATCAGGTAAAACCTAGAGTTTCCACTTAAGTGACCTTTTCTAATCTGTCAATGAGGCTAGAAATACTTTTCGCTATTATAAATTGCCACTATTTGTTGATGACCTGGAAATACATATTTTTGCATGGCGGCTTCCATATCAAATGATACAATTGAATTTATTTCTGTATAATGTAACTATGAAACATTATTGGATTTATTGCTCAACAGAAAACTTGACGGCAGAGCACTGAATTTTTTTTAATGTTTGTTCATTATTATCATGAATAGTGGTAATAATTTTCATCTTTGTATAATATAGTATTAATTGTTATGTAGTGTTACAAATGGACTAACCTAACCTCTACTTCACCACTTATTAAAACTTAGAACTCCCTGACATACCTCATTTACATATATCGTGTTGTTTATTTTTGAAACATATGGAGGCCACACCCAAAACTTTCAATAATGAGCTTGGCCATCAGGAATGTAAGTTCCTTGGCAGGGAAAGAAAAAATCCCACCGAAAAATCTGATATGTTCGAGAGGTTGAGCATAGAACAAAAGTATTTCAGAAAGGCCTGTTTTTTCAATATTAGGATTATTATATATGCACTTAGATTTTAATAATTTTAGCATATGGAATATGATAATTGATATTTGCTTTGATAATGAGAAGCAAAAACATTTAATTCAATATTGTTCTTTGTGTAATGAAATTCATCGTGAAACATTGTCAATCACCTTCAAACGAAAAATGTAATCAAATGATGTGGAACCTCCCCACAAAAATTGCCAATATACATTTTGTTGCAGTTGAAACCATTTACTTACAAGTGCCGAAGCAATTACTATAAAAAGCCACAGAGATTGTGACACATTTCCATTTCACCCATGATCTATCTACACATGAAGAATTTGACCACTAGGTCATAAAAGTACATCTTCAAGGTAAGTGAAAATAGTGTTTGAAGTGTTAATATTTGCTAATATGCAGCCTATTTAATCTCTCCAATTAACTGCTGCAATCATCATATTCAATGACTATATTTTTACGGAATTCAAATTTCTATTTGATCTAATTTTTATTGTCACAATGTATTATACACAATGGTATTATTTTGAAATTTGTTTCCTTTTTCTGGAAAACGTATTTTGATATAATGACATAGTTATTTAAGATGATTGCTAAATTTACGTCAAAGTAGTAATTAAGTTATCTCAAGTTGAATGATGAATATACCTTTTACTGATACACATTAAACAAACTACTCAACAAATATATAATGTAATTTGGAAAATTACCATCAGCATGCTCCTTGTGTCGTGACTTGGCCTCAAGTGCTATTTCCACTGCAACTTCTTTATGCCTTGAGGACCTTGTAGACATTGTAGATTCATTCTCCACTTTCTGTTTCTTATTCTTTTCTGGAGCAGTCTGGTCCTCATGAGGTCGCTTATGTGTTTCTTCCAATTGTTGGACGATATGTGCGTGACCCCCGCCTTTAGAGAATTTCACAGTAATCTTGGCCAGCTTTTCAGATTTCTCATCATCGGGAGGATGCTCCCTTTTTTTCGAATCCTTCGTCGGAGAGGGCAAATTACCTTTGTTTATTTTCAACACAATCCTCTCTTTGACTTCTTCTGCCTCCTCTAAATGTGGATCCGCTTCTTGTGGTTTAACAACTGGCTTTATGGTTATTTTCGGACTTGACCTCTCTTTCTCTTCATTTTCCTCGTCTTGCTTTCTAACAGGCTTGATATTCACCCTAGAAATCACTTCTTTCTCAGCTTCAGGTTTTGGTATGGGTTTAATTGTGATTCGGGGGCTTGTAACGGGCTCAGTATCTTCAACTGGTTTAACAATAGGTTTAATCAGAACCTTTCTAGGAGTATCCTCCTCCTGTTTAGAAGCAGATCTGGAATTACTTTTTGAACTATGTTTTTTGGGAGTCTCCTCAGATTTGAGGCCAATTTTAATCTTCAAGGGACTGACTCCTTCCTGTTTGTCTAGCTTAACAACTGGTTTTATTGTCACTCTAGGGCTCAAAGACCTCTGGTTGGAACTCCTAGTAGACATCTTAGGGCTGTGCTGCTGCTCTGTTTGTTGAACTTTAGGCTTTATTATCAGTTTTGGAATTGGCTCCTCTACATCTGTAGTACTTTCAGGGTTCTCAGAATCGCAGACCTTCAGGACAGAATGCAATTTATCAGATTGTTTAGTAATGGTCATCTTCAGGCTGCCCTTTGCAACTTCAGTTTCTGAATTACTTGTAGTACTAACTTCTTCATCTGGTACTTTAATGGGTTTGATTGTGATCTTTGGGCTGTAGGGTTTCTCTCGGTCTGGAACATCTACATTTATGCTGAGCTCTTCAAGTTTATTTTCAGCTTTCTTATGTCTCTTGGACCTTTCATTTGCTTTAGGTTTCACTTCCTTTTCCTTAGCAGTAGCAGAAGTAGGTGTTTCACTTTCCGTAATGACTTGGGAAGAGTCTATCAGAGTCTCTTGTTCAGGCAAGCTGTGTCTTGAGCTTGTTCTTCTCTGCAACGTTTTTGATTTATCCACCTTCTGAATTGCTTCTCTGTCTAGCAATTCTACAACTTCAGGAATAGTTTCACTAATTTCCTCCTCATCGACATTCTGTGTGACTTCACTTTCTTGTAATTCTTCAATGGCTGCAGTATCAGTGTCATTAGATTCCTCTTCATCATCTTTCTGAGTAACTTCTAGTTCTTGTGAGTTTCGAACAGCATGTTCAGTATTATTACACTCCACCTCATTCACTTTCAGACTTGATTGTATGTCTTTGAATTCTTTAGTTTCAGGATCTTTAGTTTCTGGAGATTCTTTATCTTCATTTGCTTGATGAGAACTGCCTTCCCATAATGGTGCAATGACACAATCAGTTTTGTCGCATTCCTCTTCTGATTTCTGAGATGGTTCAATTTCTTGTGACTCTTCAATTCTGATGCACTCCTGTTGATTTACGTTCTGACAAACTTCTTTATTTGATTCTTCAATATTTCGATTCCCTTCAAATTTATCTTCCAGTGGTACAGATAATTCATCTCCACCAAGACCTGAGGAAATTTCTTCAATGTTATCAACTAGCTCAGTTTCCTTTTTCTCTAATATTAATTCACTTTGTGACTTTGAATTGCCTCCATCACTAGGTTCCTCAATTTGTGCAGAAGTAGTTGAGATTTCTACTTCATCACGAGCCAAGATGCTCTGATCCTGTTGGTCAGTTAGAACTAAACTTTCTTTCAGTGTCTTCAAGTCAGTATTAGATTGTTCTGCAACTTGACTAATGCTGGCACCTTTTTCATCAAGTGTTTCCAATTCCTGTGTCTTTGATGCATCTCCATCTGTGGCAGTATTTGTGTCTTCTTGGATAACAGGATCTTCTATTTTTCCAACAACTTCAGTAGTTTCAAACCTGGCTTTAGAACTATCTGGTACCTCTGTATCTTCAAGTTTATTTTGTCCTTCGTCAGTTGTAAGGGTCGATTCTGTGTCTTGAACTATGTCTATTTTTTCTGTTGAAGCCATATTTTGATCTACAGCTACCACAGTTGGATCCATTTTAGTGCGACTAATTACCTCCTCCATATCCTGAACCTCCATCAACTCTGGTTGTTCCAAACTGATATTTGTGTCACAAATATTTGACTCCTCCAAAGAAATATTTATAAGTTCCTCAACTTCCTCAACATAAGCACCAACAGAATCATCAGTGATGCTCTCCACTGCTCTTCTAAGCGCTTCCATTTCTTTCTTCTCTTTCTCACTAAACGACCGTTCAGGCTCATTATCTTTTGGAATATCTATTTTCTGTAAACTAGCAACCGCTAGCATGGTTTCCAGATTTTCTTGCATGTCCACTGCAGATGTAGTAGATTCTACAAACACTGGTTGATCTGCAAGTATTTCTTCGATATGAGGCAGCTCATCTGATTCATCTATATTTTGGTCAATATCTTCTTCTGGTACACTGTTCTCATTTATAGGTAAAGCTAATGTTGAAACTGTTTCTTCTTCAGAATCTTCCTCAGACAATTCAAGAGGAGCAAATTCTAGTTGACTCATCTTTGCAGGTCTGCTTCCAGCTTCTACTGTATTTGGATTATCCTCACAGGAATCTATTAGATCTTTTGAGGGATTAACAACCTCCAAAGGAACTATTTCATCAACAGGTGTTTCAAGAGTTTTTTGAACATTTGTGTTGAACAGATTATTTGCTGAAACTTCAGAAGTCTCTTCAACTACAATTTCGTTTACAGAAAGTTCTTTTGAAACTTCTAGATCAGCTTTTTCATAGGTATCAATAGTTTTCTCAATGGTTTGGGTACTATCAGGTTGTGTCAGAAATTCTTCAGTGTCTTCACCAGATATCACAGCTTCAGTTACCTTAGGTTCAAAATTTTCCTGAACCTCAGATTCCTTAATTACTTCAACTTCATTAACATCCATACATGAACCACTTTCAACCTCTGATGAGCCAGTTTTATTAGGAAAAGAAGTAGATTCCCCATTAGGCGCTTGTTCCATTTGTTCGTTTTTGTCATCCAATTTTTCGTTGCTTTCTAATTCCTCGACGATACCAGAAGATTCTGCCAATTGTTCTGGATCATTTATTTGTTTCTCCAAAACTGTATCATTTGATTGTGAACATTCAACTCCTTCCATATCCAATTTTTCTTGTGAAATATTGTCAGTTTTTGGTAGTTTATCATCCAAACTCTTTTCAATATCCAAAACTTCAGTGGTATCAGAAACCTCTTGAAAATTAACAGTGTCTTCAACTACTTTCATTTCTATCTCATTATTAACAGTTGTGGTATCAGAAATCTCCTGATGATCAACTGTTTCTTCAATTACCTTTGTTTCTTCCTCATGTTTAACTGATAAGTTTTTCTCTACTTTCCTCTGGTCTAGGACTTTCACATCTAGATTTATATTTGCTTCATTAGATATAACTCGAATTTGACCCAAATCTGATTCAGATTTTTGTTTAATAATTTCTACAGCTATCATATTGTCCTCAACATTTTCTTTAGATGTCTTATCATCCTCAATATTTTCTTCTGCTTGGATGACATCATCAGTTTGATGTTCTTGCTTAATGTAATCTTGTGAAATGTCAAATTCAAGTGAGTCTGAAGTTGTAGGAGCAATATCTGGTTCACTTTGACTTAGAAGTGTATCAGTTTTCTCATATTGTAACTGAGGCTCATCAAAGCACTTTTCACTTATATTACTTGCACCTGCCGTACTGCTGTCTTCAACCACCATTCCTTCAGGTTGTCTTTCATCTTCTGTGTTTTCTTCAATTTTTGATATATTTGTTGTGATACCCACTAAAGGCCCCTCACCACCACATTCTTGTATATCATTCAGTTGGGTGTTATCATCAGTAGTGTCATTTTCTCCTGTATCAGTTATTTCTTCAGAGGTTACAGAAATGGGTATGTCCTTCGTTTCTTTTGATTCTAGCTCAGAACAAGTTGAATGCTTGTTTTCATCCGCATTTACTTCTTCACCTCTCCCACATTCTACTTCTGTTTTGTTAGAAGCTTCTTCTTCAGTTAGCAATGGTGCATTTTCAGTCATGTCATTTGCAATTTCTTTGTGAACTAATACTGTTATTTCTGTCAGTGAGGAAGTTGTAGATTCGGATTTAGCAGTCTGGTCATCACACTTATTTTCAACCAGGGTTGTAACATCTACTGAACATCCTGCAGCCTCCAACTCCAGATTATCAACTGTTTCTGACAAATTTGGATTTGTTGACATATTGTCTTCTACATCAGTTTCCATAGCTGATACTGACATATTTTCATCAAGGTTATCAACTTTTGCACTTTCTGAACAATTTGGATTATATAACTCATGGTCTTCACCAATTTCTTCATTTTTCACTGATTCATTACAAATCTCTCTAGTTTCAGAAATTCCAATAATTCCTGAAACTGTTACTTCGGAATTAGCAGTCTGGTTATCAGTTTCACACATATTTTCAACCGGAGTTGTAACATCTTCTGAACGTCCTGCAGCCTCCGACTCCAGGTTATCAACTGTTTCTGACAAATTTGGATTTGTTGACATATTGTCTTCTACATCAGTTTCCATAGCTGATACTGACATATTTTCATCAAGGTTATCAACTTTTGCAGTTTCTGTACAATTTGGATTAAGAAACCCATCGTCCCCACCAATTTCTTCATTTTTCACTGCTTCATTACAAATCTCTCTTGTTTCAGGGTTTTCAGATTCCGGAGTTATGGGAATTCCTGACACAATTCCTTCAGGGTTTTCAGGCATTGTTACTTCAGAGATGTCTGCCACTGTTGATTCTGTTGTACTGATTTCTACACTGCTCTGTGCTTCCGTTTGAGAAGAATCTTCCAAAGTGGTTTTCTGATCTTGGAGTTCAACTACAACTACCTCACTGGTAACTGGTTGTTCATCATCCTTAACTTCTTCACATGGATCCCCAAAATTTTCTTTTGATGTAGAATTTCCAAATTGAGGATTACCTTCACCTTCTACATTTCCAGATTCCTGCTGTGGCTCAACAGCCTTTTTTAATTCTGGTGTACTAATAACATTCTGATCTTCAACTCTATTATCTACCAAGGTAGTGTTTTTTTCTTCGTTGATTGTTTCTTCCCCATTTTTGGAGCTAGTTTGACTAGACAAGTTTTTACCATATTCAGTTTCCTGAACATGGGATGTTTGTGAATCAACAACTTGATCCCCTTTTTCTGCAGCAAGATCAGCTTCAGCAGCCACATTTTCAGTTTCTATTTTAGTGTCTTCTATCTTATCTCCAGAATTTTTCACTGAATTATCTTTATTATCACATACTCTTGATGAAAGCTCATCTTTAGAATCATCAATGTCCTTTTCAGATACTTGAACCGCTTGAATGCCTTCTGGTTGAGATTCTTGTTCGAGAGCAGAAACTTCATCACTGACAGTGGTTTCTGGTTGATCATTCACTACTACATCTTCAGCATCTATTTCATCAACAACATGAGAAGTTTCGCTTGAAGTAATATCTGTTTCAATTTTTGTGCCAGAACCACCTGAGCCAAATGTTTCTGAAACGTCTTGAGCAGAAGCAATACATGTAGAACTAGTCTCTAATGTAAGGGTAGTTTCTTCTGAATGGATTTCTTCTTCACCTATAAGAAAACCATATCAATTAGTAATGAGAAAAAATATAAGGAGTTTTTCATTATCACTAATTATTTCCACTACACTATAAAAGGTAGATCAGGTTGAATGAAAAAACAGTTTCGGTAAAATAATAATCAGCTCAATCAAAGAATATTAAATTAAAAAAGTGACAAAAGGAATACATATTTGCTTGTACTGTGAACGTAAACACAGTAGATCCTGTACTTTATTGAGTTTAACGATGATCAATATGTTCTCGAACCTATTTATAAAACAATATTTCAAATCTTCCAAGTTTATTTATTTTCCAATACATAGATCCAGTAAATCAAAGAAAACGGACAAACATTTATATAACACAAGAAATAAACTAGATTTATTGGTCAACATTCCCCATATTGGAGAACATTGGAGAATGTATTTTCATTGATACTTTTTTCAGTTACATGTTTTCATGTTCAAATTTACTATCCGACGTTTCATCGGATAGTAAATCAACTTTTTTTCTATTATGGGCGCCATATTGTTTTATTATACAGAAAAATATGCTTCTCGTTCTGATTTCATTGATGTATAGTTTGTAAACCAAAGAAATTAACTTTAAACGTTCAAGCCAGTCTCGGATATACCTACACAGTAGGTTGAATGGACTGACACCTATCAGAAAACAACTACTCCCCTGGCTAATACCACGAAGGGCGTTGGATTATATCAGACAGGCGTCAGTGCAGAAATCTCCACAGAAAATGTCCTGCATATGCAATTGGCAATACAACTGAAAGAGTCGACTTTCAATTTTGGAACGGGCACACTTGCAGACCGGTTTCGAGCTCATTAGCCACTCGTTAGTGCAAGATAGTGACCATCATCGACCTGAAGTCAATGATATTCCATAATTGAAAATCGGAATTCTTTCAGAGTATTTCATTTCTCTTCATAAGTTGGAGCGAACAACAAAATATCACTTCATCTAGTGGACGAGGTACTAACCAACTGCATATCCGATATTTGCCCGATTCCTCTGAGATGGTCATGACTCCGTCGAAAAATTTTGTTCAATAAAAACTAGTTAGAACTCATCAAACATCAGTTTGCATAAATACTTCGTCGAAATGTCCTCTTTCTCAAATGAAGCAAAACGAAATATGTTGAAACTTTATTATAAATTCCATAGGAATGAAACGAAAACAGCACATATTTATTTTGAATTATATTCAGAAAGACAACAGCCAGATAGAAAATTATTCAGAATTTTGAACACTTGGCTGAGTACAGTACGTTTCAAGAATCAAGAAAGAAGTATGGAAGCAGAATGGAACAAAATGCTAGAAATAACTTATTAGCCGAGGTAAAATTATGTTCTTTCCATATTCGAAGAAGTATAATTATTTTTGGTACTTTTTTAGATAAATGCAGATCCTTCCAAATCAATGCATCAAGTCTCGGCAGAAATGAATGTTTGAAATGTTATAAGATATATATTTCACAAATATTACATCCAGGTGATACTGAGAGAAAGATGGAATTTTGTAGCTGGCTCTCGAAAAAAGTAAACCCTACAAACTACGTAACCTTAATAAAAACTCTGCTCTGAGTATGAGAAAATTATGGTTGATGACTTGATTTCAATAGAAAAAAATCATCTCTTTTCAATTATGAATGAAATATCAACACATTGACTTTGTCGTATGTGACATATTCCATTCATGTTTCGAAAATTATACCCCTATACTTATCAGAGTTGGACGAATTCACCAGTTTCATGAATTGAAAAAGTCACAATTCACGCTAAAAAATCAATTATTTGACTTCTTGCTAACCTGTCAATTGTCAATTTCATCAATTCCCAACCCATTTTACATATTTCTCAGAAAGAAACCTTAAGTGGTTACCTTGTCAGAAAGATAACCTTTATTAAGTTACTTCAGCACCTGAAGTCGCCAACTTGATTGGTGAAACGCACGTCGAAAAGAGTGATGGAGCTCTGGTGTTCGGAAAAAGTACTTATTTTGGATTTTTTCAACGATGGAGGTTTCAGTTCTACCTTTGGGACTCTTAATTGATGATACGTCAGGTCACATTGTACTTATAGATAGTAAAAAAAAACTACTAATTTCAGAAGCCCTATACAGGGTGTAACGGAATAAGTGTAAAACATTTAAGTGATGGAAAAAAAGATAGGATCTTTCATATAAAGAAACTTCATTGGAGCATCCCTTGTTAATATACAGCCCCTTAAAGGGGGTACATAAAATTTGTATAACAATTT